ATGAACATATGCCCGCGCGCCGCGCCCAGTCCGCGGCCTCGGCCCGGGGCACGACGGCGTCGCAGTCGACCTTGTTGCCGACGAGGAGCTTGACGACCTCGGAGCCGCCGCCGGGCGTGTAGACCTCGACCTCGCGGAGCCACTGCTGGAGGTTGTCGAAGGTCTCGCGCCGCGTGACGTCGTAGACGAGGATGATCCCCTGCGCGCCGCGGTAGTACGACGACGTCAGCGTCCGGAACCGCTCCTGGCCTGCGGGCCGGCGCGCGTCGCCCCCCCCCCGCGCGCCGCCGCGGGAGCGCGCGCGCGCGGAGCGCGCGCGGCCGGCGCCGGGCCGCGCCCGCCGTGTCCCAGAGCGTGAGCTTGATCGTCTTGCCGCCTGCGGCGCGGCGCCGTCGCCCCGCGACGCGCGCGCGACGACGCACCGTCCGCCGCGACCATCTTCACCTTGAAGTCGACGCCGATCGTCGACCCGAGGTGCTCGTCTGCGGGCGCCGCGCGTCGTCGCGCGCCGGGGTCCGCGGGACGCGGGGCGGCCGCGCCGAAGGTGTCCTCGGTGAACCGCAGGAGCAGGGAGCTCTTGCCGACGCCGGCGTCCCCGATGAGGAGGACCTTGAACAGGTGGTCGTACATGATCGACGCGCGGCCGCCGGCGCGGCGCCCGCGGCGGCGGAGGCGACGCCCGGGAGCGGCCGCAGGAGTCCCGCGGGTGGAGTTTTGTGGAGTGTGGTGGTGTTTATGGAGTTTTGTGGTTTGGGGTCGCAGCGAAATGTATTTTTATGCTGAGTGCTACGCGGCCTGGTCCCAGGAACTCTGGTGGGCTGGTCCCAGCAGCTCTCGTGGCCTGGTCCCAGCAGCTCTCAGTCGCGTCGATCCGTACTCGAGGTAGGACCCCGCACCGGACAAAAGATCCGCTTCCGGCGCTTCGGTGGGCTTCGGCGCCCGAAAACGGCGTCGGCCAGAGCGTCGTCTTCCCGGCCTGTTCCAAGTATGTTCTCGGGCTCCAACCAGATGACCCAATTCCCCCAGCGTCATCCCCTAGGATACCAATCCCCCGTATCCTCCTCCTCCTTAATCCAAGTACTAACGCCAGTGCTATGGTTCACCTCATCTGGGTCATGGGCCCACAGCGCTACTACCTGTGAAGCTAACCTGCTACCTACACATACCTGCGCATCACGCAGAGCCTGCACACGCAGCGCTACAACAAAAGCGCGGCTCCACAGCAGCCGCCGCTCCGCCGCGCGCCCACCGCGCGGCAGCGCGCGCTCCGCGCGCTGTACCATCGCGGCCCCAGCGCCCGCCCCAACCACCCCGCCGGCTGCGCCGCGCGGAGTAGCCCCAGAGGCTCCAGGGCCTGAAGTGCGCCCTCAGCATCAAGGACGTCGACCAGCGATGGCGACCGTCGACGAAGAGTTCCGAAGACAATACCGGGACGTCGCCCCCTTCAATCCCACATCAAAAGATCGGGCGCACAACACACAGCAGTTTATCATATTCCTGCAGAAGATGAGCCAGGTGCAGCCGCTCCTGCGCATCCTCATCAAGGCCACGAAACCGACCTTCGCCATTGACAGGCCACTCGGGAGGGACATTCCAGGCGGTGTTTACTCGAGATGCCGCGGCCCGCTCGAGCCCTGGAACTAAGTTGGGCCTCTCGTCGGTCGCCCCCCACCATTAACGGCCGTTCTCGTCATCCACGGGCTGCCCCGACGCGAACTAAGTTGCTCGCCTTCGACCGATGGTCTTTCCCGAGCGACTCGCACCCGGGCCCGAGGCGCGGCAAGGTCCACAGACCGAGCGCCGCGCCAAGTCCTGGAACCGCTGCATCGGCTAGCGAAAGACGCGTTTTAGCCCAGATCTGACAAAACGAGCAAAGCCTGGGGGGGCTGATCTCAGT